GAGAATGAGCTTAGCTATCTAAAACAGAGGGGCCGTCCCATTAAAGAGCACATCCGCAAATTTAGGAGAGTCATTGGGAGGCTACCCCCTTTGCCAGAGCGGTTGCTAGTGCACTTTTTCAGAACAAGCCTGGATAATCAAATTGCCCAGGTAACCGCTTACTTGGACATCCCAAACCAGCTCTCTGAGTGGTTCCGAGTAGCAATAAAAGTCGACAGTGGATTGCATGCCAACAACATGAAAGAGCAACCAGACACAAAAGAGAGGGGGCAACCTGACCTGAAACTGCCCAGCTAATGGGGAACCACAGCACCACGGCAGACCCTGAAACCAGCCCTCCCTCGAAGCCTGCTGAAGTGCTATAGATGTGGAGGGAAGGGCCACACAGTACCTGTGTGCACAACCCCAGCCCCAAGGCCTAGGCCAGAGCCACCACCCAGGGGACAGCTGGAACGACGCCCCAAACGAGCCACAAACACATCCCGGAGGGCCCTCCAGTCTGAAGAGGTCTCTTCCCACCCAGCCGAAGGAGGGGGAACACCAGGCAATGATGACCAGTTGCCAGAATCCTATGATAGCAAGGATAAGGGCGAAAATGACCCAATGGTGAGGGGACCCAAAGGGTGGACCAGTCCACCCTTTCGTTTTCCCAATATGCCTCACAGCCCCAAAAACGGGGACCCAGGGGCCCTTTCAAGCCTTGATAGACTCAGGCTGCACTAGATGCTTGATCAACTTAACCACAGTCCTGAAACTGGTGATCAGAGCAAAAAGACTGACCCACCCAATCCGGTTCGAACAGGTTGATGGGTCCCTAATGGGGGGAGCCTATGCCACTCACCTGATTGAACCAGTGAGGCTAGAGTTAGCAGATCACTGGGAAGTAATTTGATTCATAATCACCCCCAAAATGACAGATCCAGTCATACTGGTACTCTCCTGGCTAGACAAGTGGGGACCAACCATCTGGTGGCAAGGGAGTACCCGCAAACTGAAAATAGCAAGGGGGCCCCAACCCCTCCCACACCAGCAAGCAGAAATACCGCCCATGCAGGGAACCCCCCAAAAGAGCACACCAGAACAACTGGCAGCCACATCCGACAAAACCCCAGGGACTGAACAGATCCCAAGGGATTATCAAGACTTTGCAGAAGTATTCAGCGAGGCCGAGTGCAACGTCCTGCCTCCCCACCGCAAGGCAGATTGCACCATCAAAATCATCCCTGGGGCAAAACTACCCAAGCCCAAAATGTATGCCATGACACCTACGGAAATGCAAGAAATGTGCAACTACATAGACAAAAACCTAGAAAGGGGGTTCATCGAGCCAGCCAAACCACGGTTCGCGGCACCAGTCCTCTTCAAAGAAAAAAAAGATGGGACTATGTGATTGTGTGTTGATTTTCGATATATCAATGCAGTGTGTGTACACAACCTATATCCCCTCCCCATCATGAAGTACATGCTATCTCACCTGGCCAAAGGAAAAGTCTTCACCAAACTAGACCTCAGAGAAGCATACTACCAAGTATGCATCAGGGAGGGAGACGAGTGGAAAACAGCGTTCAACTGCCCCCAGGGAGCTTCCAGTTCAAGGTGATGCCTTTCGGACTGCAGGGAGCCCCAGCGGTGTTCATGCAATTAATAAATGAGGCACTGCATGAGCACCTCTACAAGGGGGTTCTCGTCTACCTAGATGATATCCTCATTTACACTGAGACCATGGATGACCACATACCCCTTGTCCTCCAGGTACTGGGGAAACTTCTGGCAGCCAACCTGTATGTCAAGCTGTCAAAATGCGAGTTCCACCGCACACGGCTAGACTACCTGGGTTATGGAGTGTCAAATGAGGGAATAGAGATGGATCCAGCCAAAGTGCAAGCAGTCCTAGGCTGGCAAACCCTCACACCCGTAGAGAGCTACAAAGCTTCCTAGGATTCGCGAACGTCTACAGGCAATTCATCCCCTCCTTTGCGAAGATTGCCAAAACCATGACAGACCTCCTAAAGACAGGGAGCCCAGGAACAAAACTTCACCCGGGACAACCTCTACAGTGGGACCTAACCTGCCAAGAGGCATTTGAAACACTAAAAGAAATGTTTGCGAAGAAACAGGTGTTGAAGCACCCTGACCCTGAACAACCCTTTGTCATCCAAACAGATGCCAGCAACGTGGGAGTTGGAGCAGTGCTACTCCAAAGAAATAGTCAAGGAAATCTACAACCCTGCGCCTACACCTCCCACAAGCTTATAGACACAGAGAGACGATGGGCAGCATGGGAAAAGGATGCATTCGCGGTGAAATGGGCACTGCTAACCTGACAATACCTGCTGGAAGGGGGACAGAAACTGTTCCAAGTCTGGACTGACCACAAAAACCTGGAGACCCTCAGAACCCCGCGAAAACTATCGCCCAAACAAGTCCGGTGGGCTCAGTACTTTGACTTCATGCTAAAGCACATTCCAGAGGGGAGGAACTTTCTAGCTGATGCCCTCTCCCGCATGCCCCAGTACAAATGTGAGCGGGAGCAGGTAGTGGACGCCATCGTGCCCCTTACCCAAATAGTGGGCCAAGTAACCAGCAGACGACAACGCCATGACTGGCACGACCAACCAACAAGCGATCTAATTGCAAAACTCAAAACTGAACTGCTGGCAGACCCCTGGTTCCGAGACAATCAACACATCCTGACAAAAAGGGATGACCTCGCATGGAAGGGGACAAAGCTCTATGTCCCAGAATCCCTATGCACCCTGATCCTTCAGAGGAGCCATGACGTTAAACCAGCAGGCCACTTCGGATTCCTAAAGACTTTACTGGTGGCCCAGCATAAAGAAAGACGTGGACAGTTATGTGAAAAGTTGCACCATCTGCGCCATGATGAAGAAGCGACCAGGAAAACCCTCTGGACTGCTACAATCAGTAGCAAAGCCTACAAGACCATGGGAGGAGATTGCAGTGGACTTTATAGTGGAGTTGCCGAAAAGTGGGGGAAACACGGTGATCTGGACTGTAATGGATTTATTTTCCAAACAGGCACACTTCATACCCTGCAACAGACTACTCTCAGCCCACCAGTTGGCCAAACTTTTCCTGAAACACATCTACCACCTCCATGGAGTACCAAGAAGAATTATGTCTGACAGAGGGGTCCAGTTCACAGCTAAGTTTTGGAGGGAGTTCCTACAGTCCATTGGGTCATCCCAGGGCCTTAGCTCAGCCTTTCATCCAAGCACCATTGGGGGGAGGCAGAGAGTCTGAATGCTATGGTAGAGCAGTACCTGAGGTGCTATGTGAACTATTAGCAGTCCAATTGGGCGGACCTCCTGTCTTTCGCTGAGGTCGCATATAATAATGCTTTTCACGGGTCTAACCCCGTTCAAGGTAGTGAGCAGCATGGACTTTGTCCCAATGCCTGAGTACCCAAGGGAGCCCCTTCCTCAGTCAGCTTGACCAATTGGATGGTGACACTGAAAGCAACCTGGGAGAATGTCAAGAAAGCGCTAGCTAAAGCGGCACAAACCTACAAGAAACACGCAGACAAACACCAAGCTCCCCAAAGGCCATTTCAATTGGGGGAGAAAGTTTACCTCTCCACAAAATATTTGAGGTTACAACTCCCTAGCAAGAAATTGGGGCCAAAGTTTATGGGACCATTCCCCATAGTAAAGTCAATCAACCCGGTCACGGTGCAATTGAAGTTGCCCCGACTGCTAAGGAAGATACACCCGGTATTCCACAGTAGCCTCTTAAAACCTGTGGTCGGATCAACCCTGAAGCCACTACCCCATGAGCCCCCAGACCGCATGGTCATAGGGGGCCAGACCCATTATGAGGTGCAGCAAATCCTCAATTCGAGGTGGCACAGGAGACAACTCCAATATTTAATCAAGTGGAAGGGTTACCCCTTATCAGAGGCATCTTGGGTAAAGAGTCAAAACATCCAGGCTGATCGCCTGATAGCCAAATTTCATGCAGAAAATCCAAACAAGCCAGGTGGGGGGTCATGTCCCTAAACTCTACATCTGTACTCAAATTGTTTTGCTTTGCACAGGTCGCCCTCGGGAAGTGAGGGAAGCCGAATGTCAAGTTGCAAAGTTTTCAAGTTGCAATGAGCAGGAGGGAGGGAGAACTGATAGAGCTAATTGATTTCCCTAACGGAAGCTACATTCCATACATGCTTTCTTCCGCAATCAAAAGAAGGGTGTTGGATTTCACAGCTAGCCAAAGTGGTTAATTGGAGAATGTGATTTATGACATGGCCAGGGAGGAGGGGACAAAGTGGGTCATAGTGGAACGTAAATCTACGTGGGATTAGTTCTAACTGCTTCCGAATATTGCCGAAATGGTGCTCCTAATAAATGACTGTATTTCTTTTGAAGTTTGGTTCATGGCTCATGAATTAATTAGGCATCTTTCGGAAACTTCACAATTTGGTTGAAAGACATCCTAAATAATCTTTCTAAGAGTCCACCAATAATTTATTTGTTATGCTAAATAAAAATAATCTTAAACATTATTGACATCCCCTTGGTCAACTATTACCTAAAAGGAATTTAGTTAGACAATCGTGATGGACAGTTTATATAAAAAGAATTCTCAAAAATTCAGTTGTTACTAACAAACAATTCAAAATTGTTGAATTATCCTATTTATAGCAAATCCCAAAGGTGCTTTTTCAAGAGGCAGTTGAACTTTCTTGGGGTTTTTTTTTGAAGACACTTTCGTTCTCATCCAAAAAGCTTTCTCAGCTCTAACTAAACAGTGGAGAATGGAAGGATTTATACAACTATGACTTGGATGACTGAGACTCTCCATAGATATTTATAGCAAATATAAAACTACTGCATTCCAAGCCAAATGGTTCTAAAATGAAATACCAAACAATCACATATTGATGTTACACTATCAAAAGAATGCATTGCAACTATAAACAATTCATAAAGTTCCAAAACACTCAGCAAACACATTGTTATTTATTGTATGTGTTTTTTTACCTGCATATGGAACAGGAGCATCTTTATCCAACGCAACTAATGGGGGATCCAGTATGACTGTGTCATTGTTTTCAGTAATAACTCCATGATAAGATGTTTCAATCCATGGCTTGTGCTTGTTTACTAAAAAAAATATATACATATTTCATTAGTATAAAATGAAACTAATTTCATTTTTTAGTTTTAATGTTTGCTTCTGAAATGAGAATTGATTATATATACAATAATTTTCACTGGATAATTTGAGAATATCCAAAGTTTAGCTACATGAGTAATATATCATTGTTAATTATATCAGTTTCTCAAGGTTTTCCCAAAGCCAAGATAGGGAGAAAACTCTTCAAAATCAAATGTGACATTTTTTCCAGGTATTATAATAACTAAATAATATTTACTAAAATAAAAACCATCACCTCTACTATCATGCAGTAAAGCAAAGTACATACTCAAATTACACATCCCACTATTCTCTTCAATTAATTATTTTATGCAATACAGAGAGAAATAGTAAGGAAAAGAAATTAAAGCCAGGAGACCAAATGAAATCTAAATCTAACAGCATATGCTACAGCTCTTCATATCTTGGTACACTTGCAAATAATATTTATTTTCACATATGTGTAACTAATTAATACGTTTTGTTGTTCTTGAACTTCTTTCCTTCCTCTTTTGGAGGATTTCATAACTCTGTACAACTGCAATATTCTGTGTCTTCCCTTCCTTTCAAACCTTTCATTCTTTCTTCAACTATTTGCATAAAATGTTCTGTGTAAGCGAAAATATCTTTGCTTTATCATATGCTTTCACCAACTTCACTAAAAACATATACTAAATTTTCTTTCTTACATTCTTCTAATGACCTGCTGAACTACACATCTTTTTGCCTGGTATATAGGTGCAGCAAATTTTGCTCATTGTCACATCTTGTATCATTTCAGTCAGAAACCAGCTAACATATTCCCAGAAACACTGAACAAACTATAGTAATCACCTTGTAATATTTTATTCAGGTTTATTATGTTTTTCTTTGCATAAGCAATAACAAAAGGTTTCCAGAATAACTATTGAAGGTACCTAGCTACTTTAAGTTCATTGAACTATTTTATTCTCGATTTAAGTGGAAATTCCATTGCATTCCTTTTGATCTTAAAATGGAATCTTTGATTTAGCTTTGCCTGTTCACATCCAAAACCAGCAATGATTTAGAACAATATATGGATACAATTTATTCTCCACACTCTTTCTACAAGAGAAACCATTATCTGTCAAAATTAATGCAGGCATCATGTTGTAGTTATAACCAATTATTAAAGACTGTGATCATATCCTTGTCTTGACTTTGGTTAATCCTGCTTTGCCGAACATTGTCAATCCTAGCAAAGTCAGTTTAATCTCCTTACAGAAAATACAGCAATGTCTTGACCTTAAATATTTTAATCAGAGGAGCAATGTATTTAACTTTTCTAACATGCAAGAAAGATTATAATAAACAATATGCTCATTTGAGAATTTAAAAAAAGAAATATGAACACTATACTTCTTCATGGGTTGGAAAGCCTTTAGATATTTAAAGATGCATATATATTTAACACTGTGTTTGTATATTCTAAATTTTTCATATTTTAAAACAAAATATACAAATTAAATGCTATTATATTGGATATTATTTATTCAACATGGGCTTTATTAGATCTCTTGTGGGAGCACAAGGCTCATGACTGATGACACATTTCACCTCTCCCTTGGGTTCAGCCTGGTCATCTCCTACATCAAGTAATATAAAATATTTCATTTCAAATTATCAGCTTTTTATTTTAGAACTTCAGGAAAATTTGATGAGTCATTTATCACAATAATAAAAGTTATAGACTAAATAGAAAAACTATCACTTTTATTGTGGATAGATCAGAAATTTAATACAGAAAGTTCCAAAAATGGAGAGTTAAAGACAGCAGATGAGGAAATCTGAACTGGCTGCAGAGAAAAAAGGACAACACTCTACTTACTACAAGTATTCCTTGACTTATCACCATATATTTAACAACCATTCAAAGTTAGAACAGTGTTGAAAAAAGTGACTTGTGACCAGTCCTCGCACATATAATTATTGCAGCATCCTCATGGTCAACTGAGGTATATTAAATGAGGTAAATATATTAACAACAATTGCTACATCCCAGAATCACATGAGCACCAATGTGGGAAGCTGGATTCACTTTACAACCATGTGATTTGCTTAACAACCAAACAAAGAAAGGTTGTAAAATTGGACACCTGTGATGACTCCCTTGATGACTACATCATTTTGCAATGGAAATTCTGGTCCCAACTGTGGTTAAGTCAAGGACTGCCTGTACTCCTATTTCCTACATTTAGTCCATAATGATTGATGGTACCAAATGCTTAGAGATCAAGGAAAGTCAGAACAATTACATTATCAGACAAAAGGAAATGATATTACATATAAGTGAAATAAAGTCATAAATCCATTTTAAAATAAATCCCATTTTTAAAAAACAATTATTAAACTAAATTTCAAATAAAATTAACCTTCAGCTTTAAGTCAATTAATAATGTCTGAGTAAAGCTTATTTAAACAAATTAAACAAATTATTATGTTCTTAACATAGTACAGTAAGTAACATAGTGAACTTAAATCAGTATGGGTTGGTATAAAATAGAACATTCTGTATATTTCAATTTTCCAAACTTTATGGTTTTTATGTAGTAAAAATGAAACATGAACAAGAAATAAGTGCTTTAGGGTTTTTTCAAAATGTTGTTATTTTACTTCTATTTCTTCTTTTCTGTTTTGTGCATGTGAATAAAGTAAAGACAGAATTGCACAAGGCTGCAAATTTTACTTATCTTACCTGGTATTTCTTTAACCACTAATTGAGTTTTCCTAGAGTCAATTCCTATTCTTAGGGGAAAAAAATTTTCCCATCTGCTTGCTCACCTTGTCTTGTCCCACTGCTATCATGTAACTATCTGCTAGTATCTGAAACATAATTCATCAGGACGTAAGATCTTTAATTTTAGTAGGATTTAACCCAGAAAACATAGATAGGTTTGTACTGTTAATAACAAAAAGCTACTATGTATTTGATATATTCTATTTATTTTATTTATTTTTATTTTATTTTGAATTTGTATACCGCCCTTCTCCCTGAGGACTCAGGGCGGTGAACAGCCAAGTAAAAACATCAAGTACAAATATTAAAATACAGTTAAATATATATATATATAAAAATTTGGCCCGATTAAATAAAAACAGTAAACAAAACACTTAAAAACACTTAAAAAAATTAGGCCATTGATTTCTGACTCATAGCTTTTTTGTTTTGACATTCATCTTAATGAAAATTTTATTCCGTGAGTGTTCCTGAAAAGATCGTGCTGCTCTTTAGGTTACACCTATTTTAATATTTAAATATTAGAGTATAATTTAACCTTCTTAGAAAAGATATCTAACCACACACAAACATAAAAATAGAAACTCATACAAAATAAGAATTTTATTATGAAGTAATGCAAAACATAAGAACGTAAAGCATATCCCTGCTAAATCAGGTCAATAGCCTACCTAGTTAAACATAATTTTTACATAACTGAAGCTAATGTTTTTACTCAGATTGGAGAATAAATTCTAACCTTGAAGCCTAAATTAACAAACAAAACAAGTTTTAACTTAACCTTAGGTATTTTCAAGGATTTTAAATCATAAAATCAGATAATTTCCATGATTTTCCATAGTCGTTAGGACAGAACTCACCATCTCGCCAATAATTATTGTCCAGATAGCAGTTTCTACCAACTGTTCATTTACACCTGAGATTTTAAATATTTCAAAAGCATTCTAGTTTCAGAATGATGTAAAAGAATGATCATCTTCAGAGCCTTCAGAGGCACAAATTGCCAGATGCAAGACCCTATTCATTAAGTTGGGCTCCAGAGAAGTAGTGGGTTTTAATTTTGGCTGCTACCGATTCGCTCGTGGGCGCGTACGTGTTTGTGCACGCACGCAACACTTCTGTGCATAACCAGAAGCTTCTATGCATGTGCAGAGATGTGTGGGTGGGCGGAGCTCCCACCGCCGCCGCCACCGGTTCGCCCAATCCAGGGTGAACCAGTAGCAACCCACCACTGCTCCAGAGTTCAGTTGGAATTATTTCAAAAGGACAGAAGTCAGCCAGGAAGTTGCAAGAACCCACTAAGGCTGGGGTCCTGATAATACGAGGAAGTCCATTTCCTGGTTGTATTGATTGTAGGATATTGTGAATGTTATCAGCTGCTAGTTTATACTATTTATGTTATGATTTACTTACTGATTTCATTCTGTTTTTGTTAGTTGCTCAGAGTCATGTACATAAGATGGGCAATGTTTACGTTTATTAAATAAATAACTAAATGATGGAGTAGAATTATGGGACTCCACTGGCTACTAGTAGCAAGACTGGACAATTCCTCCAAATAAAAGGTAACCAGTCACTCCACTTGGTAAGTGGAGAAATAATAAAATTCTATCTGTTTAAATAACATCAGCAATAAAACAATTAAAGGATTAAACATTATTTTTGCTTCTATCTTAAGAAGGTTTTCTCAATTACTTATTCCCAATGGCAGCTGCTCTGTCTGCATTACACATATGTGTAATCTTTAGTGAAACAATTTTGAAGTTACCACATCTGCCAATTTTCTGTTATTAGAATATTTTCTTTAAAATCAATGATGAAAGACATGCTGATGGGAGGAAAAAGAAACGAATAAATATGTAAAGAAGTAGGCAACTAATTACAAATGCCAGTACAATTTTTTTGTCCTACAATTTTAGAAACCCTTCCACTGTTATGTTTCAAAATTAAATAGCAAATGCTGTTTCTAATCTAGCTAAGCCGCCTTTGTTACATTTTTATTTTAAGCAAGTTGCTTGGTTCCTTTTCTTCTTGTATCTGAGCTCTTCAGACAGTTTTAGATGTATTTATTTATTTGTCTGTGTTTCCCAGAACCACTAAACAAGTTTTTGCAGCTTTTTAAATATATTGTTCCAAATTCAAATGGCTGAATTAAAAACAGGAATCTTGCCCACATACTACTAGGCTTTCCCTGACAGTTGGATAAAA